AAATGAAATATACTTGAAGGAATAAAAGGTGATGATGGCCCTATCAAAAAGAATTGGAAAGAAAGATCTAAATAGAATGCACAAAGAAATCAAAGGGATGAAATATTTGGTTGTTTTCTTGTTAGTTTTTTCTTTCTTTTGAATTTTTATCATGCATTTTATTCTAATCATGATTTTTCCCACCCAAACAACTCCCATAGCCTGCTCACATACCAACCAATACACTATTCACTCCTTTCTTTTCCTCTCCTTAGAAAAACAGACAAATACACCAAGAAAAATAAAGAAACCAAATATAAAACACCATAAAAGAAATGTAAAAAGAAACCCATAAACACATAGAAGAACACAAAATCAGGACCAATATTTTTCAAGCAAAATCCAGTAAGACAAATATTATCCAGACAGAACAATATGAGAAAAACGTCTTTACAAATATCCTTCAGTTCATTTTTTGTTGGCCATCTACTAACAGACATTGGGCCTCCCTTACACGTGGTTAGTGTACTCAATGTGACTTAACTAGAGTAAATTAAATTTTTATTTGTGAGCAGAAATCCATAGGAGATCGATAGACCTGTGAGAATATCTCCCAACATTAAATCAAAAAAATTTAGAGGAGCTGGGCTACTACTGGGACTCAATTTTTAGTCATTAACTTGAGCTACAATCCATATATTTCCTTAGGTGAGACACACAGACACTGGCTATGAAACTCATCATTGTAATAATTTTTATTCATCAAAATTCTATATAAGGTATCATTATTATTATCAAATTGGACAGTACAGATTAGGGAGGATGCATCTTCTTGACAATTTCAAGTTTAAAATGCCCAGTACAACAGAATGCTTCCATGAAATAAACACATTATTTTATAGGCAATGGAGATCTCTCCACATCTACTCATGCTATGCTAGACACCAGATAAAGAAAGCTGCAGCAAACAAATAAAAATAAAAGGAGCAGAAACAAGAGACATTCCAGGGTCTGCAGCCTCATGGTCTTGCCTAAACAAGGTTGGTCCATCAGAAGATTCCCTTCTGGTGGACAAATATCTTGAACTTTAGCTGCCTCTCACTGCTCCTCTGGCATGGCCTATATCATATTCCCTTGATGTTGTTAGGGTTGACATAAGCATTTCTGCTATGATTTTTATAACTTTCATGTTTCTTTCGAAAAGAAAAGTAGGGGCACTTTCTATTGCTCATTTGTCCTGCTACATGGGTCGTAATCACTTTACATAAAAATCAAGAACCCATTCCCCATGGATATCTCTATAAAGCACTTTCACATCTAAGGCTCTGGGAAAATTAGGGAAAAAAAAGGGCAGAAATATTGTAATAGCAAAGAATCAAGGACTTTGCTTTGAAATTGTGTCTCTTAGTAATATCAAAAACTACATTTAAAGTCTCACCACTAGGGTTGTCCAAAGATGAACTGAACAAAGACTACAACAAACAATGTCAAAGTGGATGGTAAAAAGTCTATGAGACCTCAATCCTACACACACCAAACATTCCAGGCAACTGAGTAAAGCTGGTTTGAGAAAGCTGTAATCCATTCCCAGGGAGAACACACCAATTGGTTGCCCAGTGAACAAAAGTCAGAAAACATACATTCAAGAGGCATTATACAGACTGAGCAGATTCTATTTCAGATAATAAATGCATATATATGCACAAATGTATATGTATGCATATATATGAATGCAATAAAAATTAAAGAAAAAAGAAATCAAGGAATTGAGGAATATGGAGAGTTATATATAAGGGTTTGGGGGTTGTTACAATATAACAAAAATATATTAGAATGTAGAACATAAAAATACTTTGGAGAAACAAGTATAATACCAGATTTATTATATGAAAGATTAGGAGTATATTTTGGGGTTTATAATTACTTTGTTTATAAAACTGCTTTTAATAAATAATAATGTTTCTCTATAGAACTACATATAGAGTTAAAAATAAAATAGCTTTTTTAAATTATGAAATAAAAACTATATTTAATGAAATAGCATTATGTGATGAAAATTCAAAAGGAGATTTTAAATTATTTAAGCACACAGTTTCTATATAAAGTACCAATATGCAATTTTACCAAAGATGTGTCTACTAAAATATAGTATTGTTCACCTTAAATATATAGAAATAAATGATTTTGAAAATGAATACCAAATTGTACAATCTAAATAAGATTGTTTGCCTCACTGAAAGGTGTATTAGTGATTGATCTTAAAATATCAAAAGAGAGTGAGAAAGAAAAAAACTCTCTCAGTTGGCATTTTCAGGTGTGGAGATAATTGTCTAAATGGATACATGAGCTAAAAAACTACAGACATATTTTCTACCTTTTTCAAATAATTATTACATTTATTAACATGGTTACATGTGTCACAAATGCAAGCATATTTATATATGTACTTTCACACATGCAATAACATGTGTGTGTGGAGATTAGGAGACAGTTGAGGGAGTGGCTTCTAACCCTCCACCCTGTGGATCCGTATGATTAATTCATCATCAGGCTCTGCAACAAGTGACTTTAACTGCTATGGCATCTCAATGTCCCAAGTGATTCACCTTTTGAATTGTAAGTTGTCATAACACAAACAAAATATTAATTCATATTTACAAAATATTTCTAAAATTAAATAATAAATTTTCTTTATTATCTAGCTCATAGAGTCGATTCAAGACGAGTTAGAGGCTAGGGATCCCCGAAGACTATGGAAGCTTTCCAATTTCATGGTCCTATTTAATCTGCAGAATGGGAAACTTTCCAAGGCAGACATGACTTTTCTCAGTGTGTATAAACCACACTGAGGTGAAAAATTTCAGCAACATTGGCCATAAAAGGACAAAATGATGTAAGAGTATTCCAGGGAAAATTAAATGAACTATCATCCAAAAGAGAAGATTTGTGTTACAAATTGATTCAGATAGCCTGAGTACCTGGCGAATTGACTGTTGTACATTCAGTTTTCTTTTCTTTCTTTCTTTTTTTTTTTTTTTTGGTTTTTCGAGACAGGGTTTTTCTGTGGTTTTGGAGCCTGTCCTGGAACTAGCTCTTGTAGACCAGGCTGGTCTCTTTTTTTTTTTTTTAAATTTATTTATTTATTAAGGATTTCTGCCTCCTCCCGCAACCGCTTCCCATTTCCCTCCCCCTCCCCCGATCAAGTCCCCCTCCCTCATCTGCTGGAAGAGCAATCAGGGTTCCCTGACCTGTGGGAAGCCCAAGGACCGCCCACCTCTATCCAGGTCTTGTAAGGTGAGCATCCAAACTGCCTAGGCTCCCCCAACTAGCTGAACATAGCGGACAATGAGGAATACTGAGAACTCAGGAATAATCGCAGTGGGTTTTTGATCCTACTGTACATTCAGTTTTCATCACAACGACTCATTTAAGGTTTGTTTGCTTGTTTGTTTGTTTTAGTAGGACATCTGTTAAATCCTTCATGAGTTTACATGAGTCTTGCATTTGTAGCTTTTAACTGTTGTGCTTGTGAAAAGTTTGCAGCTTTCCTTTCCAATTAGTCCTTGGAACATTGGGAATCATAAAGCTGTTTTATATGTTTACACCTAATGGTCTCAGGATGATCTTAAAAGTTCCAAGTCTCTCAACACAGAAAAACATTGTACTCAGGAAACTAAACTTATTCTAATGTTACCTGAATACCATTAACATTTTAGACTCTCTGATTTTTCAAGATATAGGCAATACATTAGCAAAGTAGTTGTTAGAAATTACAATGACACAGATTAGAGGAATCATTATTCACTAAGAATTCACCAAATTAAAAGTGTGTGAAAACATCAATGTCCAATTCTCAACAAAATAAAAAAAAACTTTATATAATCCTGACCATTTTTGCTACTTCAGTTGGTTATTCTAATTTTGTTATTGATAATTAAATAAAAAGTGCCTTGTTTTACAAATGTTATTAATTTTCTTAGACATCACAAAATTGAAATTTCTACTATTTATTTCATAATATAGAACTGATATTGGGAAATTGTGAGTCAGAGAGACCTCATTTGGTAGTACATTTTTACTATTGTATAGAACTGATTGACACAGGAAATCAATAAACATTACTATTACTAACATATATTGTTTCAAGTACTTAACAGGGAAATTGTAAAATATACCCTAACTTGTTAATGTTTTAACCTTTAAACTTCAAACCTAAAGTAGTATGTAAAAGTGTGGACATTAAAATTAAGAAAGAAAAGTCATGAGAAATAAAAGAAGGGAAAATGTCAAGGAAAGAAAGAAGTTTAGAAAATTGAAGAAATGAAATAGAAAGGTAGAGAAGCACAGAACGAAGTTTGCATGAATAAAATATTGTTTGAAATCTCATCACTTACAGCTGAAAGTAAAATCCTTTAGTCCCAATAATACATGATTGTTCAGAGATACAGTCCAATGAATAAGAAAAACATTATGCTGAACACATTTTTAGCATGTGGATTGTCAATTTATTTGAGGAACCATTTTTCTCACAAATTTTAATAGGCTTTATTCAATTCTGTGTCTTCAGACAAAGTCAAAAATAGTGTTGTGCCTGGGAATTTTGTGTTTATATTTTAAATATGTCAGTGGTCTTTTTGTATTTTGACAGTCAAGTGAAGGGGTTTTAAATATGACTCAGATATTAATTGAAGAAAGTAACCTCTGATTCCATGTCAAAAGGATAGTTTTAACACATGTGAAATGCAATAGGAATATTTGCTACTGATATGTTTAAACGATATACCCATTTACATACCTGTACATATTAACTTTCAGATGTGGAAAGCTTTTCCTACATTTAGGAAAATTCCTCGATTAGAAAGAATATACAAAAACAATTTATTTAAATATGACTTAATGCAATGCTAGGATATAATTTGTGTTCTTTCCTTCTTACTTTACTCTGAACATTAAGATATTGTTTTTATTTCAGGAATTCTTAAGTTCTGTCCCACTCAACCCGTTGGAGCACAGTGTACTAAATGGAAGAAGCAAACCACTCTATGGTGTCTGAATTTATTTTTCAGGGACTTTGTAACTCAAAGGAACTACAGATCTTCCTCCTGTTGCCATTTTCTACCCTCTACCTGATGACTGTGGTAGGCAACCTCTTTGTGGTGATATTAATCATCACTGATCATCATCTCCATTCTCCCATGTACTTTCTGTTAGCCAATCTCTCCTTTACTGACTTCTGCCTATCCTCAGTTACTACCCCCAAACTGATCACAGACCTTACAAAAGAAAATAAAACTATTTCCTTCGAGGGCTGCATGAGCCAGATTCTCTTTGTGCATTTCTTTGTTGGGGGTGAGATGGTTCTTCTTGTAACAATGGCCTATGACCGCTATGTGGCCATCTGTAGGCCACTCCACTACACCAGCATCATGGACAGACAGAAGTGCATCTGGCTCATTTTGATATCATGGATCATTGGATTTGTGCATGGTGTTAGTCAACTGATTCTGATTTTGGAGCTACCTTTTTGTGGACCTAGAGTGATAGACAACTTTTTCTGTGTTATTCCTTTAGTGATGAAATTAGCCTGCATGAATACTGATACTCTGGATATCGTGATGAATGCTGAGAGTTGTGTTATAGCAACAGCTTGTTTCATTCTCTTGCTGATATCTTATACTTACCTTCTATTAACTGTTCGGCTTCACTCTAAAGATGGCTCATCAAAAGGCTCATCAAAGGCACTCTCTACCTGCACCTCCCATATCATAGTAGTTGTGCTGTTTTTTGGTCCTGTCATTTTCATCTATCTGTGGCCAGTCAACATCACATGGGTGGATAAATTTCTTGCTGTATTTTACTCAGTCATCACACCTCTCCTGAATCCAGCCATATATACACTGAGAAATAGAGATATTAAGAATGCCATAAAGAAGCTGATAAGTCACATGTGAGATTTTGAATACTTTTTAGACATCTTACATTATTAGAAAATTTATTGTATACATACCATTTTACACAAATTTTAATGGAAATTGATTTATAAAATAACTTGTTTCTGTAGTCTATAACTTGTAATTAGTATATGGTTATGAAAATAACCATTACAGGAATATATTCAAAATTGTAATACTTATAGTTTTACCACTTAGAATGAACAATATTCCGCACAATGTACTTACGTATATTGAATAGTAGAAGATGATGATAAAGTTGCAAGAATAATGACATGTTATTACACATTATATGTGTTTCCAAAGTTGTGCAACATACTTTAATTAGATTGTTAGTAACAAAATACACTTTGAACTATTTATCAATTTTGCCACCTTTTAAAATAACATTATACATCAATCTTAATTCTGTCTTTGTAAAAGAACAGATTGAAGTTATTTGTGAAAATTGCTAGAAATCGAATTCTAAACAAATCTACATCATCATGATAACTGCCTCTTATTGATACAATGTTTGACAGTTTTCAAGGCTTATTATTCATATGAATTCAGGATTTTTTTTACATTTTATTCCTTTGCTAAAAAGGACAATCTGTTTATAATATTTGAATATACTTTCATCAGTTCACAAATTATTTGCATGATCACAATATTATAATATATGATGAAATAATATAACTGCCAAGGCCCATTCGATAAACATTATCTGCACTTGATAATGCTATTCATAATAATTTATATTATTTAACATTTTCTGTATTGTGTCATTTGCTGGATAAACTATATTATACATGTTGGGAATAACTTGAAATTTAGTTGATTTCTAAACAAATCTGAAAATTAGAACTTCTTGCATATCATACCAATGGTTCTTAAGTTTAGGGTTAAAATCAACCTATACGTATATTCTAATAAGTTAGAGGTTTTTATATCATATATTACCTAACAAACCCCAAAATATCTGTATCGTGTTTTCTCAAAATCATATGAAGCATTGGTCATATATGGCCGCAGACTTTGATGTATACATATGTACAGATTCTAGATTCTAGTTTTTTTTTTCAGAAAAAAGTAACTCTAGTATATATATATATATATATATATATATATATATATATATATATATAATCAATTTTGTCACCATATTTTAATTATATTCTTTGACAATATCTGTGATAAGTTGATTATATCTGATACAGTCCCTGGCCTCTTATATCTCTCCTACACTTATCCCTGTTCCTCAGTCACACAAACCATAGGAGTGACTTTCTTTTTGTTCTTTTCTTCTTTAGAGGGTAAGTGTATTTTTATTACTTAAGTATAGTTGCATTATCATAAGAGAACTTCCAAAGTTGAGTGGTTTGGGACAAGGAAATGATGACATGGACTGCAGTGGCTATTTGCTTAGTGTTTTCTATTCGCTCAGTTTCTCTTCAGCTTCATTTAATCCCCTTGTATTCTTATTTTAACTACTTTATTAGCTTGTATTCATTGTAGAAATCCTACTTTTTAGCATGAAAGCTTTTTTCCACAGACACCATAAATTTTCATCATACTCATCCCACACTGCTCTCTACCCTCCTCCCTGCTCCCCTTTGGTATCCTTCCTTACCCCAAATAGTACTACTTTTAATTTTATGTCTTTTTTAAATTTAGATTTTTAAAAATCTGTTTGTGTCTCAGAATCTGGTTTCTTTCACACAGCATGATGAGCTTTTGTTATATTAGCTTTTATGAAAACGATATTAATTTTGTTCTTTTTTTGGCTAAATAAAACTCTACTGTGTATAAATTCACAATTCTTCATCCATCTTGGTAGATGACTAGGTTGATATTTTCTTATTCTTCATCACACCATTTAAGTGTTTTTCTTAAACTATTAACATTCAAGCTGTTAATAAAGAGATGATTTGAATAAGAACAGGCTCATATATTTGAAGGCTTGGTCACCAGGGAGTGGCATTATTTGAATGGATTAGTGACTTTCATCATTCCTATATGTTTGTTTAGCTTTGTGATCCATAACTATCTAAGTGTCCATTGTTTGCAACTATCCCTGGTGTACTATGATCTCTTCAGTAGGTGGTCTCAACTGAAGAAAATGCCTGGCACTGTCCCAGAATCATCAGTAGCTCACAGTTCATCAAGGAGATGTAACAGTACATAGGTATTCTCTTATCTTTGATTGACTATTGAGGGAGCTTTGGTACCATAATTGCATTAACTATGCCAGGCCTACAAGATTACATTTCACAGTTCTTGCATTCTTTCTGATCTCTTCCTCATTCTTTCTCAGGACTATTTTATAAGTCATGTTAAGTTTACAGACTTTACCTGCCCAAAGTCATATTATAGCAAGAGAAACACCTTAAGAATTCTTTGAAAAACTATACAATTAAACTATAAAATGACCTCTGATTGTCTGTATAGTTTCTAAAAATATAAATTTTACTTAAATTTTAACAATTATTTCAATGACATATCTTGTATGTAATGTGTGTTTCAAGAAGGGCAATGGAGGCCAGTAAGTTAGCTCTGCAGGTAAAAAAGTTTCCTGTCAAACCAGAGTTAAATCCCCTGAAACCTCCAGGGTGGAAGAAGAGTTTCCATTCCAGTGAGATTGCCTCTAACATCAACAAATAGCCCCATTCATACATACACGAAATAAGTAAATAAATAAATGTTGACAGTAACCAACGCAGCAGGTCTGGTCCTAGCCATGTATGCTTAACAGCTTAAAGCAGTGATCAAAAAAAGAGAAGTATAAATACACAATTGAGACAGATTTGGAGAAAAATAAACTACTAGACGAGTCATGGTATGTTTTAAAAATGTATGTAGGCTTAAGAAAAAAAGAAAATGGATATAGGCAGTGATAGAAAAAAATGTTTTAAAAAATAAAACAAGGTCTTTAAAGAGACATTAAGGTAATATAAAAGTGTACAGAAAGTCATAGATTAAAGGAATAAAGATAATAAATATTATACAGTAATAGAGTAAGAAATATAAGATTTATTAACATGGCATATGCAAATATTACTTTTCCTGTCTCTTTAAAGACTTTGTTACTAAAACTACATTTGAAAGCTAAACTGAATGCATGGAAAAAGAAAGTGAGGAGTCATCCAATGAGGAAACAAGGCATGTATGAAATGAGGTAATACCACAGCCACGTGGCAATATAGAGATGAATAGAAATGGATTAATTTAAGTTGTAAGAGCTATCTAGAAATATACCTGAGCCATTGACCAAACAATGTTGTAATTAATATAGTTTCTGTGTGATTATTGAGGTCTGGGAAGCTAGGAAATAAAAGTTCAGTCTCCATTTACAGTAAGTTTTGTTTATAACCAAATAAATGCTACACACACACACACACACACACACACACACACAGTATTAGGCAATTAGTAGAAATCTCTAATAAAACAGCACTGGGATTTCTATAATATTAAAATGAGATAATGTAATAAATATAGTGTCATTTGCAGAATAGTTATTTTATAAAAGTGGTTTTACTATTTTAATGACCATTTTTAAATCTTTATATATTGTATTATTCTGAGTAATCATTTAAATGTTGCAAATGAACTCAATCTGTGTATCTGACGTCTGCAGTAAATTGAACACACATAAGAACATATATGCCAGATGTATCATGCCAAGTGCTTCAGTTTGTGAAAAAATATTGGTGTTCACAGTTATTAAGAAATCCAGCTAGATATTATATGGGCAAGAGAGGTCAAGATCATGATAGAGAAATCTACAGACATCTCGACCATGCCCGTGGAAATTCATGAACCCTGGACCAAATCTGTGTAACTGACATGGGATCAAACTAGGCCCTCCTTATGTCAGAGATAGGGGTGAAAATTGGACTATACGTGAGGCACCTGGCAGTAGGATCAGGATCTATCCCTGGTTGATGTGGGAGTGATTTCTTATTAATAAAGAAACTGCCTAGACCCATTTGATAGGCCAACCCTTAGGTAGGCGGAGTAAACAGAACGGAATGCTGGGAGAAAGAAGCTGAGTCAGGGAGTCGCCATGATTCTCCCACTCCAGACAGACGCAGGTTAAGATCATTCCTGGTAAGCCAGCTCGTGGGCTACACAGATTAATAGAAATGGGTTAGATCAATATGTAAAAGCTAGCCAATAAGAAACTGAAACTAATGGGTCAGGCAGTGTTTAAAAGAATACAGTTTCCATGTAATTATTTCGGGTAAAGCTAGCCGGGTGGCAGGACACAGCCCGCTGCTCCGTACTACAACAGAGTGGCACCCAACATGCTAATGAACTCCACATAAAACCTGAGAGGGCTTAAAAAGGAGAGAGAGAGAATTTAAGACAGCTTTTTGCTGTTTGTGGGTTGCGTGCCGCAAAGAAATTGTCCTGACTCAGCAGCAGGAAAAAACTGGCTGTTTTAAAATGTCGGCTTTCTGGGCTGTGCCGCCATTGCGATCTCTGTCTGGCTCCTGTGGGAGACAGAGCTTTTAAATGGAGCATTTGGAGTAAAGCTCTACGGCTTGCTTAATGGCAATGTGGACTGCTGTGTGCCTGGAACTGTGTGTGGCTCAGGGGCACCAAATGGCTCTGAGGCAGGAGCGGCTTGGCTCAGCTCTGCCATGCTGAACTGTGCTGGTCTCAGGCAGAGACTACCGTAATTACCATAAAAACAGCGCATTTAGGGTTTCAACTGGGCAGGACACAGGCGGTACCGTATTACCTGTACATGGTACAACTTAAGTTTTTAAGAACTGCTTAACATTTTAAGAAATGCTCCTGGATAGTAAAAAAATGTTAGAGATTCACAATAAAACAGATTCAGACATAAAATACCACACTGTTGGATGAATGTACGTAGGCTTGAGAGAGAGAAGAAAAAGAATATAGACAATAAAGTTAATGGTTTAAAAAAAATGATAAAGTCTTTAAAGAGACAGAGTATAGATAGTTAAGAGATTAAAAGAAATAAAAAAAATAAGCCACGTAAAAAT